TCTTTCTTTCTTTCTTTCTTTCTTTCTTTCTTTCTTTCTTTCTTTCTCTTTCCCTCCCTCCCTCCCTTTCTTTTCTTTTTTTTTGCAGTAAACAGTTGAATAAAATGTACATGGTTGGATCCAAACTGTCTAAATACTCACAGCTTTAAAGAGAAATCAGCATGTATCTGGCACACCAATGAATACTGTGTTCTTCAGAGCTCATGCTGAACTGTGTACATTGAAGGGTCTCCCTAAAGGAAACTTTGAGACCCTTCTGTAGGCTGACCCTTCTTAGATGGAGCTCGGCCTTCATTTTGGAATGCTCCGCCATCTGAGTGCTTTAAAAATTAAGGTGGCTTTGAGGATCCTCTCACTTCACAGTGTGGGGAGCCATGGCAAGCCTAGGCTTGACTCCCTTCCTGGATGGAACTCGTACCTCAGAACTGTTGCCTCTGTGTTGTTCCAGTCATGATCCCCAAAGCATGATTCCTGATTTGGAGGCCAAGAAAGTACAGCCTGTCTTAGCATGTGATCTTATGTAAGGCACTGTGTGTCGAGCTGGCAGGAAACAAACATCTCTCCAGCCCCCTGTTTTCAGAGACGGGTCGGAAAATATTTCAGCTGCTTGGTGAGTTTCCTTGGTTTGGGTCTTTTGCAGGGCATTTGTTGATTCTAAAATCAGAACAGCTACATATTTTAAAAATCTGCCAAAGAGTTGAGGAATGGTTAATTCAGAATTTTATTTTGAGCGCAGGGGGTTCTGTGGCCTCTTGGTCCCTTCTACAGCATCCAGAAATCAGTAGTTGATAGGTTTCTACTTGAATGCCTCCAATGACAGACAACTCACCACCTATCCCTGTAGTCCATTCCAATATTGAGACATTTCTAATTGTTAGGGAGAAAGGCAGCATAGTACAGCAGACAGAGAACCAGGTGAAGATTCAGGAAAATCTGCGTTCAGGCAAATGTGTGCAGGTAAATGTTTAACAATTGGCTCCCCAAAGCCAGTTTGAGATGGCGCTAGCACCCCCTGCTCCAGACTCCTCATCTGATGTCCTGGCTGTGTAACCTTGGGCAAATTACTTAACTTCTCAGGGCCCCGAAGCAACTCTCTAAGACTACACTACAAATAAGGGGTCATTCTGTGTTAGTAGAGAGGGTTTTCTCAATAGCATGTCCCTATGCCAGTGGGGTCACAGGTCCAGTTAAAAGAAAAAAAAAATAGTAACTTCCTTCTTGTATTAACTAAAATCACTCTCCTTGTACCTTCTAGTCATTTGTCCTTACCTTTGGGCCAAGCAGAATAAATCTAATTCTACTTCCATATGTCAAGGTTCTGTGGGAACTCCTCTTGTGAGAATTCCTTCCTCTGATGAAGATTGCAACCAATTTCCCCTCATTTTCCATATATGAAAAAAGCACAGTACTTTGCACAAAGGAAGCATTTAATAATGTTTCTTTATTCATTTGAAAAGGGGTGCAGGAATTTCATAGGGTCATAGATTTGGAGATGGGAAGGACCTCAGAGATTATCTAATCTGACTGCATAGTTTTGCTACTGAGGAACTGAAACCCAATGGGTTGTAAGCGATGGAGACAGGATTTGAACTCATTTCCTTTGACTCTGCAGCTAGGCGGCACAATGGATAGGGTGCCGGGTCTGGAGTCAGGTCTGGAGTTCAAATGCGACCTCAGACCTTTACTAGCTACTTGACCCTCGGCAAGTCACTTAATCCTGTTTGCCTCAGTTTCCTTACCTGTAAAATGAGCTGGAGAAGTAAATGGCAAACCACTCCAGCATCTTTGCCAAGAAAATCCTAAATGGGGTTACCAAGAATCAGACACAACTGGACAACAGTAACAACAGCCTCTGATTCCAGAGTCATTTCAGCAAGCTCCTTCTTCTGTTACTTCTGTTCTCTTACTCTGAACAAGTAAGAGTTCTCAGATCAACCGATGCTTATGACCCGGTTTCAGGTCCCCTCAGCATCTCGATCACTCTTCTCTGGAGATAGTCCAGATTGTTACGGTTCTTTAAATGTGATGTCCAGAACTAGACAATACTCCAGATGGGCACTGAGTACGGCAGAGTGCGGTGGCACTGTCACTTCCCTGGTTCTAAATACTGTGTTTCTATTAATGAGCTCTTTTGGCTGCCAGCTCTTTTGTTTTTCTTCCACTTTTCCCAGTTGATGGGGGAGCAATGATATTCTGTCACCTCTGGCAATTTCCTGGCAGCCTGGCATCAGGAGCATTTACCAGCATGCTTGGGGGAAGATTGTTCTCCCCTTTCCCCATCCCGTGTGAATCATGTGATACTCAAGACCAAAATAACAGCTCTGATTTCCAGAAATGTAACTACCAATTCTGGCTCCTTATACCAAGCACCTCAAAATGCACCCATGAAAAGCAGTGAGACAAATTCAGTTGTGAAGGTCAGATGGGGGATCTCTGGGTGTCATTGTGGTATGATAGAAAGAATAATAGATTTGGAGTCAGAAGTTGTTTTGTTGTTCAGTTGTGTCTGACTCTTTGTAACTTCATTTTGGGTTTTCTCGGCAGAGATACTGGAGTTGTTTGCCATTTCCTGCTCCAGCTCATTTTGCGGATGAGGAAACTAAGGCAAACAAGGTTAAGTGACTTGCCCAGGGTCACACAGCTAGTAAGTGTCTGAGGCCAGATTTGAACTCAGGTCTTCCTGACTTCAGGCCTGGTGCTCTATCCACTGCATCACCTAGCTATCACAGTCAGAAGACCTATGTTCAAATCCTGGATATGCCAATTATTACTTATATAACCTTGAGCAAGTATTTTATCTTCAGTTTATCCCTCAGTTTACTCATCTGTCAAATGAGGGTATTGTATTAAATAACTTTTAAGATCCCTTCCAGCTCTAAATCTCTGCCTCTATGATCTACAAAAGGGCCCTTAGCCCTTTGGATGCAAGACTCTGTCACAGGAGACCCTGGGGCACTTCAGTGCAGCTACAGAGGAAGCTTCTGCCAAAGGAGGAAACAGGGCTGGTCCAGACTAGACTGAGCAGATGAAGCTTACCTAGGGTGTAGTCATGTGGGACACATGGCGCAAGGAGAGGAGGAAGAAAATATAACAACTGGTAGTGCCTTATTTTAGCTAATTATTCCAGATCACTAGGTGCTAAGCTTAGTTATTTCTGACTGCTAACAGAGCTATGAAGCAAACACTATCAGAGTCCTCTAAATTTTGTCACCCTGAGGCAAATCTGCAGTTGCCTAGCCCTAGTAATAGTTTTACTAATTACTTCACTTTCCCAAGAATTTGAAGGCACTTTTCATACACAGTACTAGCTAGTGCAAGGACAAAAAAAAAGGAGTAAATTGCTTACTATGGGTTGGTCTGGTCTGTAGTGCAGAAAGAGGCAATGTTAACCAGTCTTGGGTCATACCTGCAGCTCCAAGAAGCTGACTTATCTTTCTCTGACAGGATCAGATCCATGATAGTGTTCACCTTAATTATTTCTTTGGGAGGTAATTGGTGATTATCACCGTTGTCTTCAAAGTATAGATGGAAGGAGAAGAGAGGCACAGGGAGATAAAGTGACTTAGCTACAGTCATTCAGCTAGGTAAGTCCCTCAAAGTTTTAGCACTGTGATGCCCTTCTTCTAGTGACTTCCCTTCCCTACCCTACTCCCCACCTCCTGCAAAAGTGTAGGTAAGCCTCTCTGGAGGTCAGGCTGCCCTCTTTCCTGGTTTGACTGTCCTAGGAGGCAGGACAACTTCTCCACCATGGCCAAAACCTCCGTGGAGCGAGAATTCCTAGTTACTTCTTTCTTCCTACAAGACTCCAGTCCTAAGAGGGACAGAGAAACAATAAAAGAAGTATGGTAGAGTGTGCCTTCTTTGTTATCTCAACTTAGGAGGCCATCTCCAGTCTTCCTGATCTATATCTTGCCACTGGACCCAGATGACTCCGGAAGAGAGAGTGACGCTGGTGACTTTGCACAGTCCTCCCTCACTTAAATCCAATTCACTTGCAAGTCATGGCATCACCTCCCTGATGACATTGGTCTTCTTTGAGAATGAAGGACAAACAAAAACAAACTCAGCTTATTTTAGCATAATCTTCTCTGGGTAAATATAACAGACCCTATGAGTCCTTCCCTCTTCTTCATCACTCACTACTCTGCATGAAATGACTACACGAATTAACTTTTTGTTTTTTCATCATGAGTAGTCACATACAAATTCTTTTGTGCTATACCTCATTATTTTGAGTCCATTCACAAATGTGCTGAAAGGGAGGATTTCATCTTCCCCGAGGTTTGCACAGGACCTTTTTAGCAGGGGCATGTGGTTTCAGTAAATAGGAAAAGAAGGTGGTAAGTTCTTCTCTGCCATGATTTTCAATGGGACATACATGTGTGCAGTCAATGGGAGAATTTGGCTTTCAGAACACAAAGACTCAGAACTCTTTGTAGTCATTCTCTCTGATATATCTCCCTCTTGAATGTAGGCATTATTCAGATGATCCAGTTTCACGTTTTTCTCTCTCAAGGGACCCACAGGATGTTAGGTTTATGTAGAACATATAGTCTGAGTTAAGCCTTGTCATTAATATGACCATCTTCAGGGCTCTTGGGTATAGACTGGGGCTGGAGAGTTGGATGATGTCCAGAAGATTTATCAGAGAATGGGAATTTTAAACCCAAATCAATAGACATCCCTCCAGGACCCCTCCCCTCTGTCAGGTATGATATGGTATTAAAAACACAAAGCACCAATGAAAAACACCCATCTTCAATGTGATTGACTTTAATAACTATCCTTGGGTATTACACTTCTATAGTTCGACATAGGAAGCATTTAAGGTCTAGGGGTTCCATCCAGGAACTAATACAAATTAAGTGCCTAGGCCCTGTCCCTCCCTCCTCATCAGGAAGAGGCCCTGGAGCTAAGGGATGACTGGATCCCAAGTGAGTCCCAAGAACATGACTGCTCAAGTCCAGGCCAGTAAGCAGCCTCCCTAGAGACTGAAAGCAAGCAAGCCTTAAATGACAAAAGCAAACAGAGCCCCAGGAAGACTATTGTCAGGGATTCCCCTCTGCATTAGCAACGTGAGACAAACGGCTTACTCTACATTGTTTGGAAGAGCTGTGGAACACAGTGGGGGAAAAAAAGTAGTGAGTCAGGCCCAGAGAATTTTAGTTTCAACAAGCACACCATAATGGGCTATTTAATTATACCTGTTACCTTCCACGAAAAGGTCATTCACTCTGTAGTAAATAATTAACTGCTGGCTGCCGCATATTCTGTTCTGATTTCTTACATTCTGTAACTTATCAGGAAAACCGTGGGGTGTCTAGTTTTTTTTAATGGCACATCGGCCCCCTTTGTGGCAAGTTCGATGATGTGGGCTTCCTCCATGGCCACCCCCCACCCCTCATTCTTCAATCAATTATTTCAGTTGCATCTTGAGCTGCCTGGCAGTAGTTCATGAGCCATGGAATGTCTGGAATACCATCGGAAGGGCACTGGGACATGATCAGGGAGGAGGTGAGGGACCTGTGCTACCATACGAACCAGCTGAGAGAAGGGTTTACTCTTTCCCACCCTCTGTGCTTTTCATCTTCTAGGTATCAGCCTGCTGTGGTCAGTTATCAGTGTGGTCCAGAAGGACAGGACAGCGCACCATTCATGGTCTGTCAGAGCTGCTCCTAGATGGGCGGATGGCGTCATGAGTGAGAAGCAAATTTCATGTCCTTGCTTTTTTCCCTAGGACCAAATCACAGTTGCTTCCTCCATTCAAAGGTAAAGTGGTAGTGGAGTGCTGAGTAATGGAAAGAGGCCTGGACTGGACATTGAGTTGACTTTGGCTCTTTTAAAAAAAGTGTCTATTTTTTATTCTGAATATTCAAATAAGATGGACATTTGCATACACAAAACAGTCCAGAAAAAGAAGACTGCACATGTAGCCATGAATCTGGTATAGGTTGCATTGCCCCCAAGCACACAACAAATTCAATATGTTATTTTCAAAGCTGTCTTGCTTGCCTGTTTCCCACCGACCTTCCTTCTGTTCTCTTCTGTGCATTTAAAAATGCTTCTGTGCCACTCTTTTCTTACTTTTTCTTCTTTTTCATTTCACTAATGACTCCCCTCTTCCCTCTAACTTCCCCCTCCCCCAAATGAAGAGAAAGAAAAAGCAAAAACTTTTGCATAGTTGAGCAAAACAAATTCTCACATTGGCCATGTTCAAAAATATTTTTCTCATTCTGCCTTCTGAATTCATTACTTCACTGTCAGAATTGAGGTTGCATGACTGGTCACTGAATTGATCAGAGCTCTTAAGTCTAACATAGTTGTTTCAATTTACAGTGTTGTTAGGGTATAAATTGTTCCCCAGGTTCTGCTGATTTCACACAAATTCGCACGAGTCTTCTCAGGTTGATCAGAAACCCTTCCTTTCATCCTTTCTGTGCTATAACATTCCATTACATTCTTGTGCCATAACTTGTTCAGCCATTCCCCAATCAATGGCCACCTTCTTGTTTCCAGTTCTTTGGCTGTTTGAAAAGAGTTGCTATCCAACATTGTTCCATGACCAACTTTGATAGACTTAGCTCTTCTCAGCAGAGCAATGATCTAAGACAATTCCAAGGGACTCGTGATGGAAAATGCTATCCACATCCAGAGAAAGAACTATGGAGTCTGAATGCAGATTGAAGCATATTATTTTCTCTTTTTTTTTGTTTTTGTTTTTTTTTTCTCTCTCATGGTTTTTCCCTTTTGATCTGATTCTTCTTTTGCAACATGACTAATGTGGAAATACGTTTAATATCATTGTACATGTATAGCCTATATCAGATTGCATGTTGTCTTGGGGGAGGGGGAGGGGCGGGAGGGAGAAAAAAATTTGGAACTCAAAATCTTGTAAAAGTGAATGTTGAAAATTATCTTTGTATGTAATTGGAAAAAATAAAATGCTATTAAGTGGAAAAAAAAGAAAACAGTTACTATCAGTATTCTTGTATCTTTTGTATCTATGGACTTCTTCTATCTCTGTATTATAGACCTAGTAATGATATTGCTGAGACAAAGGGTATACATAGTTTAGTGACTTTTTAAAAAGTATTACACCAAATTCCTTTGCAGAATGGCAGCCTCACCAACAGGGTATTAGCATGCTTGTTTTCCAATAGCCACTCCAACAATTGTGATTTTCTTTTCTTTTTCTAACTTTTGCCAATCTTTTTATTTTGAGGTAGGATTTCAGAGTTGATTTAATTTGAATTTCTCTAATCATTTGCTAGTGCCTCCTTCCCTCTAAGATGATCTCCAATTTGTCCTGCACTTGGTTTGTTTGTATATGACCATTTGTATGTTGTCTCCCCTGCTATACTATGAGCTCCTTGAGAGAATGGATTGTTCTTTGCCTTTCTCTGTATGCTCAGCATAGTTCCTGGCACATAATAGGCACTTAATAAATCCTTGTTGATTTGATCTGGAGTATTTTTATATGCCTATTGATAGCTTGCTTTTATATTTTTAGGAATATATCTGCTCATGTCTTTTGATGTCTATTTGGGTAATGCTGTTTGTTCTTATATATTTGAATTAGTTCCTGATATCTACCTTAGACGCTAGAACTCTATTAAGGAAACTTTCTGCAGAGATTTTTCCCCCAGTTAACTCTTTCCTTTCCACTTTTAATTGCATTGTTGTGCACATGTGTGTGTGCTTTCGTACTCAGAAGTTTTTCAATTTCATCTAATCAATTGTCCATTTTATCTTCTGTGATGTTTTCTAATCCTTATTTGGTTATGAAATCTTTTCGTATCCATAGTTGCAATAAATATTTTTTTCCTTGCTCCTCTGATTTGTTTATGATCCAATTTGCCTTGTATCAATTTGGAGCTTATCTTGGTATATGGTATGAGATATCTACCAGACTGTTTGTGACTTTGGTTCTTATCTCAGTAATCCAATAAACCTACTTGTATGACCTTGGACAGCTCATGTCAGTCCTAGACTTCAGTTTTCTCACCTGTACTAATGAGCGGGGTGAACTGGGTGATCTCAAAGGTGATTGATTCCCAGCTCTAATATTCTGACTACGCAATGGTTTCCAAACTTTGGGCAGAGCCATATCTAGGGCAGGGCAACTGGGCCTTCTCTCTAAGGCACCAAAATTTAGAGGGCACTGAGTGCACTTAATAGTTTAGAAATGATTGAAGTTAGTGCCTAGTGAGCGAGAATAATTAGCTAAGATTGGAAATTACCCGACGGTGCTTTCTCAGCTGTTCTCCTGTTTTCCAACCACAGTGTCCCAAAGTCTTTGACCCCGGAGTATCCTAGGGTCTCTGTATCTCCTCTGTGGTGCACTACCTTGGGGTTCTGCCCATATCCAAAATTTGTCTTAAAAAGGTGTTACTTGTAATTTGCATTTGGACATAGTCATCACAGAAATGTTTTACACTATTTCCCCCAGGCATTAAAACCACTAGTTATAGTTCTGCTGGGGGAAGGGGTGGCTGGGGGCCATTGAATTGTCTGTATTCAGTGATGCATTTTCTCAATTAGCAAACAGCACTGTATAGTGACTATCAGCTGGGAGCCCTGATACATTTTTTTTTAGAAATTAAAAAGAGGCTCTCATACTAAAAAAGACTGAGATTCTCTGAATTTGAGACAGTGAGCTACCAGGAGTATATGCACAATGCATAAAATTGCTTCATTTCTCAACTTTTCTTTGTTTATGGAGACAGTCTTAATGCATTTCTCTTTTAGGTTTCTTAAGGGTAGGGGTTCGCTTTATTTATTTTTGTATATTCCTAAGTACCCAAGACCTAATAGATGGGCACTCAATATTTGTTAAATAAACATATGAATGAATGAATTTCTTAAAGAAATTGTGTATTTTATTTATAGCATCTCTTTTTATGGTGGATAAGAATTGGAAATCAAAGAGTTGCCCATCAATTGGGGAGTGGCTAAACAAGCTGTGGTATATGATTGTAATAGAATATTATTGTGCTATAAGAAATGACAAGCATGGGGCAGCTTGGTGGCACAGTGGATAAAGCACCGGCCCTGGCGTCAGGAGGATCTGGCATCAGACCAGACACTTGACACTTACTAGCTGTGTGACCCTGGGCAAGTCACTTAACCCCAATTGCCTCACAAAAAACAGAAACAGAACAAACAAACAAACAAAAAAGAAATGACAAGCAGGATGATTTTAGAAAAACCTGGAAAGATTTACATGAATTGATGCATAAAGAAGTGAACAGAACTAGGAGAATGTCATACACAGTAACAGCAGTATTGTTTGATCAAGAATTGTGAATGACTCAGCTATTCTCAGCAGCATAATGATCCAAGACAATCCCAAAGGACTAACAGTGAAGCATACTTTCCACCTCCAGAGAGAGAACTGATATTGTTTAAATACAGACTGAAGCATGCTATTTTTCACTTTCTTACTTTCATCCTTTTTCTTTTATTTAAGTCTTCTTGAACGAAATGACTAATGTGGAAACGTTTTACATGATTGCACACGTATAATCTATATTTGATTGCTTACTGTCTCAGGAAGCCAGGAGGGGAGGGAGAAAGGGAAGGATAACATTTGGCAGTTAGAACTTTATTAAAAAAAACCAAAGAAACAAATGTTAAAAGTTTGTTTTAACATGTAATTGGGGGGAAATAAAATATATAATAAACATTTTAAAAAATATATATAATAAACATTTAGAAGAACAAGCAAGGAGAATAGTGGAGACAAGTCTATTTGGCCATGAATGAGTTCCAAGTTGTAGGAGGACTGAGGATCAGTTTGTAAAGGGAATATCCAAAGGCAGCTAGGGAAATGGGAACTCAGATTAGCCTCTTTAGCCCCAGTGCTCTCAACTCAAGTTCTTTTAAAATATCCACAATATTCCGTTTGTCACCTTACCAGGTAACAAAACAGTGTCAGACAACTGAGAAGATGCTGAGACAGGGTAGTGGGAGTGCAAAGTAGAAGGAGGAGAAAGGTCATTAAATAAGTAGGAAGAGACTTTCTCTGATAATATCTCCTTTACCATTAGCAACTCTGAGATGTGTAGTTCTCAGAAAGAAAAGGCTCCAGGTGTTTGCTTATTAAGCATTTGGTGAAGGTCACCTCTGGACACCTAAAAGTTGATGATTTGGGACTTGAATGATTACTAGCTTTTAGCTACCTTTCTGAATTCATTGCTTAGTCTCTGAGGATTTATACGAATAGCTCAAATGTTTCTGGCAGGCCTTTGTGGCTTATCTTATGAGGGAGGGAGTATAAAAGAGAATCTAATTGTCCTTGATGAAGTCATCTCACCAGGCCCGGGTCAACTATACCTCAGGGTGCTCATTGAACTAGTGGATGGCCTTACTGTGCCTCTATCAGTGATAGCTGAAGGATTTGGAGAGTAGGAGAGGTGCCGAAGGATTGGAGAAGGTCAGATGTTATCCTGATTCTTTTAAAAAAGAGAGTGAGAAGAAACTGGAGTCTTTGAACTTAAATCATTCGGTCGTGAACTTGAATTCAATTCTTAGCAAAATTCTAGAATACCTTATTAAAGAGATGGTTATTGAAAACCTAGAAAAGAAGGTGGTGATCGCCAAGAGTCAGCATGGCTTCACCAACAACAGGTGATACCAGACTCAACTCATTTATTTGTTTATTTTTTTGATAGGGTTCCGAAACTGGTAAATAGTCGGGATGCTATGGAGTTATCTTCAAATTTATCTAAGCATTTAACACTATTCCATTCTATTTGTTATATTGTTTA